TTAGTGGTTTTGGTACGTTAAACCCCACATATCATTCATTATCATATCGAGTTTTTTCACTAACAGCAGACATCACGACAGTGAGATTCCACACACCTTCTTTCAAGCAATGTTTATTAGACTCAGCAATGACTGCTTCTCCAAAGTATAACCACATTTCGTTTCTCTGGCACACCAATTTCTTTATTTCAAAGATGACACAAACTGCAATCACAAAATTTGCTTGTTACTTTACCCCCCTCAATTTGTACTTGCATAGATCAGCTTGAGTGAGCTCCCCTTTGTTTCTTTCCAGCAATGTGTAGGAAACAATTGGTATTTATGCCCTCTCATCGCATCAGTGCACTGCGGGAACATATACTAGTGTCACCTTTTCGAAAGCGGCACACGGAATTATTAGACTTGATTCTCCATTAATTCCGGAGGGGGGAGCGGAGAAGTGATGTGGGGGGCACAAATCTGGAGCACAGCCACTTCGACATTTTTTTTTCGTCATTTAAGCCTAACCGCAGAGACCTAGCGACAACAACAAACGACAGTCATGAGGGACAAGATTTGCTGTCGTGGAGGCTCATTCGTCCCCGCCGATTGTAATGTCGCGCAATTCTGAAAACTAGAAAGATCGCTTGTCGTTCTGAAACCAGCGTGGCGATTTCCAACAACATGGCTGCGCCCCTGGTCCTCGCTTCTGTCGCAGTTTGCTCTTGATGCTTGTTATTCACGCGTCCTTCAACACTCTAAGGCGAAAGGGTGTTCGAAAGGGTGTCTAGTTCGTCCTTTTCAGGACTAATGGGGTTGCCACAACTATTAATCCCTTTAAAAACATACGGCACCAGGTCTAATGGTTAGCCCCTCAAGAGACTAACAAATAGTCCTAACATTTACATTTTGGTGAGTAACCTTAACTCCCACAATTCACCCAAAAGGACAAACACTTAGTCCCCACATTTGCACCTTATAGAGCAACTGTTAATCCCTACATTTACACCTTACCGGGCAACTGTTACTCCTCGCAGTTGCATCTTGCTGGACGAATGGTTGATCCGCTCAAATACTCCAATCAAATTAACTTTTTGTCCCCAGTTCAAACATTGTTTTTTGTTTATTTTCCGCCAGGCCTAATACTTTAATCGCCTGTTTTTCTGCGCAGTGGGCAATAAATTCCGCTGAAAAGATCACGCGAAAAGGTAGTTAGCCACCTATGTGTAACTGCTTTCACAGTCATAGCAACAACCAAAGAAAAAAGTGAGACATCGAAATCTTTTATTTTTCTACATACACATGAACATTCTCCAATCTATTAAGTTAATTAATGGTGAAGTGTACAAGTCCAATCTCGTTGCCAAATCTTGTTCACTCCTTGGGGAGCTCCTCCAATGGAAGCGATATATGACAGGCATTGCATACGTCAGCGCATGCAGTCTTCTGCCTGTTGTGTTCCCACGGCTGCACGTACAATTATATAGTAAAAATGGTTATTCACAGGTCACAGAAGATGAAGATGCAAGCATATGACGAGTACGTGCACGTTACTATAAAAACAAGCGTTAAAATATGACACACAAACAACTTTACCTTCACATCTCGCACAGTCCTTCTGAAGCTTCTCAGAAGAAAAAGATGGATGACGGTCATTGCAGACGCCAGTGCACAGTCTTCGGCACGGTGTGTGCCCATGGCTGCGCAATAAGTATGTAATATAGTGAGCCACGTGTGACAGAGGATGAATACAAATGCATGAGAGAAATACGTGCAAGGTGAAATGAAAACGTATGTGAGTTATGACATGCTAATCATTTCACCGTAATGTCACACATCGCCAAAGACTCATTTCGATCCCCGTAGCACAACAGTTTAGGAGCGGTGGCTGCAGTAACAACTCCGCGAACCACCGTGCCAATAACAAGTCGGCGAGTCCTAAGAGAGAGACGTCATTCAGCTCGAGCAAGCGAACGCGAGACCAAACATGGCCCTGCACGCGGAGTGTCTGCCGCCAGCAAACTTCGATTTGATTTGTGGGGTTTAACGTCCCAAAACCACCGTATGATTATGAGAGACACCGTAGTGGAGGGCTCCGGAAATTTTGACCACCTGGGGTTCTTTGACGTGCACCCAAATCTGAGCACACGGGCCTACGACATTTCCGCCTCCAACGGAAATGCAGCCACCGCGGCCGGGATTTGAACCCGCGACCGGCGGGTCAGCAGCCGAGTACCTTAGCCACTAGACCACCGCGGCGGGGCAACGCCAGCAAACTTCGAATAGGAAAGCGAGCGTACGCTTGGCCGCCGCCACGAACAGCTCCCAGCTGGTTTGGAGCTAGCGCCGAATAAATCGACGGTAATGCGGCCCTTTTTCACAAACTGCAGCGAGTACAGCGCGCAAACGTGAGTCCGCTGCCGTAGCCAACGGACTGCGCCGAGCTGCTTGCGACCGACTGACGGGGAAGCCAACTGTAATGGCAACCAATGTTCAGTAAGTTCCGACGCTAGCGAAAGCTCCGCTAGCCCGTGCTGGTGCACTTACAGCGCGCGACATACTACAACCAAGTTCTTTACGAGAACCTGCAGCGTGTTTTAGACGACTCCCAACACAGCGAAGAGGTCTCAGCCCAATATAGTCAGCACAGAGCTCATCGCGGCGGCGAAGACAACCGAGCACTCGATGAGCGATCTTACGGGAGGCCGACGGCAATGGCGGCCAATTGCTAGGCGGTCGCAAAGCACAGGCGAACTGCAGCCGCCGAAGCTGACCTTTGCGATGCATTTCGTGCTTGCGATATACAACACGACCGAGCCCGTTGCCGGCAAGCGCGATCCGTATCGCACAGGCGACAAGTAGAGTAGAATAAAGAATAACCTACTTGCCTTAGAATCCAGCACTGTTTTCTGCCCTGAGTTGGACTGAAGTATATATCCGATAGGCCTGTTCTTCTCTGCCGCTATATTGGCTTTCCCAACTGTTGCTGGCGTGTGTTGATAGTGACTATCTTGAAGCCAGAGATATACAGCATGGCGTGGTGACGCGTCGAGACTTGCTTCAGACTTCATGGGTGCAGCGAAACGCTAAAGCAGCAGTCAACGCTCATCCAGGCGTACACACAAGCACCACGTAGTAATTCTTAGATCGTCGAATCCAGGCGGCCGTGGTCGAACACCCTGAACGCGACGCTACGCGACCGCCGCCGCCGGCAAAATACGAGAAAAGACTGAGCCAGTAGAGGAGGAGAAGGACACGTGTTCAGTGGAAAAGGAGAATGGGTAAACTTGGCAAAGCTTTTCGCCCTGCCTGCGATGCCCGGGCGGTTCATCTCTAGGGGAGAGTAATTAACTGTACTAAAGTGCTTATTTGGGCCGGTTGGTACATGGTCAACGAAGTGAAAAAACAGCGCGTAACACAGGACACAGGACAGAGAAGAGACAGCGCCTCGTCCGTCTCTTCTCTGTCCTGTGTCCTGTGTTACGCGCTGTTTTTTCACTTCGTTGAGAGTAATTAGTTTCGCGCCACACGCTTCCCTCTGTGGTTGCTCCTCAACAGTCTATCCGTTCATCGCGCGCGCCTATTAGGCTCCGTTACTCCTTTTTTGGGTAATTTTGCCTTGGAGTGAAGGAATATAAAGTATCGACCACCTTTTTTTTACATTTGCATCTCACGCGGAGAGTAAGAAAGGGGCCGTATCTTGTCTTGAATGTTGTTATTGGAGGTTTGTTTTGAGGTCTCGATGGTAGCTCGTGACAATTTCGTCCATTTCTGCGATGACGCACCTCGCATTTCATCGTGCGAAGTGCGTCGTCGCCTTCGTAGCATACGCCTCTAGGCAGCCTGTCGTGATTAAACTCAAGATTACGAAAAAAGAAGATCGTGAAATGCTTTTGTGGCTTCCTTACGTCGTACGAGACAGCAACAAGTTCGGCATGCTGTCATCTACCAAATTTTAAACTTCTATTCGCAATTTATGGTTATGCACGCGATAGTTTTCATACAAGGAACAATTACACTTTATCGCCTACGTGCTGTCGCAGTAGTCATGACGCGACGGCGTGACGGGGCAAGTGTCTCCTGCCGCTTGTCGCTGTCGCTAGGAAATCGCGTGCATGCCGTTAGGGCTTTAGAAATATATCTATGTGCCTGAAAGAGCAATACTGATTTCGGTAGGTTTTCAATACTTTATTACAGATGCTTGGCACTTCGAATCAATTATTATTTGTTTACTGCACATCTGACAACACAAAACGTATTGAAGAATTCCCCCACTACTGGGCCAATGCCCTGCGTTTGGCATGCACAGTGGACAACCACAATAATCTCTCTGAATGCTTTGCAAGCAAGTCTGGACCACACAACGCATAAGAAACACGCCTGGTTTGACACACTGTGACGACATAGTGATGCGTCAAGTAGCTCATCATAACCTCACCACAGTGATCTAGCGATTATGGTGCTCGACTGGTAAATCGAAGGTGACTGGTTGGAACTCTGGCCATGGCAGCCGCATATCAATGAAAGCAAAATGCTAGAGGCCCATGTGCCTACTTACCTTTACGCGCACGTAGCACGTGAGGCCAACAGGCAAGAGTGTTCCGCACTCGCCGTAATGGCAACAGCTGGCGCTGATTGAAGCTCCAACCTTCACATCCACGTAAACGCCCTACAAAGTGTGCGAAGGTGTGGCCGCCATGGCAGCCCAGTGGGAGACCATCGGATGCGTTATTCGATGGTTGCAGGTTCAGTGCCTACCGCTAAGAACTTATCTTTTCATCCACATTTTCTTTCTTCACATTTACAGCACACAAATTTCTAATATTGTTCTCTATACTTTTTGGTATATTTATTTGTCAATTTTCAATAATAATGTTTCTAAATAAACGAGCCCTTATGTTTACCCTGCTTTCGTAACATCCCAAGTGATGGATTTTTTTTAGTACACGCAATCGTGTAGAGCACATACGATTCGAATAGCAGGAACTTTTTGCACGTAACGTCTTGTGGCTTTGATACAGTGCCGGAAGTACCCAGCTTGGTGTCCGTGGTTTCGGCCCAGCCGCGCAACGTGGTGCTCAGCATCGTCGGCCCGTCAGCCTGGAACTGTGCCCCAGTCGGGTTCAACTTGCAGTGGGAGGCCACCAGCGAGAGTCGGGGGCCACGAGGTTCAATGGAAGCGCCGCTAACTGAAGACTGGTCACCCGAGGAGAACACGTTTAATGTGACGCTCCCTCTGCGAGGAGGCACAGACTACCGGATAAGCGTGCGCGCTACCGGTACGAACAGCCATGGCGACAAAGTCTGGGGACCTGACCTGGAGATTGAAGTCAGCGTAACACTTGGTGAGTGCCGTATATGTCTAAAACAAACTGAAGCCATGAGTTAATTTATACTTTCCTCGTCTAGCTTCAGCACTAGGTAAGGAGAGAAGGTGTTAGAGATTCGGAATGGGCTCCCCTTGATGACTCGAGTGCTCGGAGACAGTGCGAAGAAATACCCATTGTTGGGTGAAGAGAAGGTTTATTGCAATACTCAGGCGTCTGCCAGGGTCGAAGCATGAACCTCCGCTTTTATTTCACATCTAACCTCCCTCTTTTCAACCCTCGGTCAAACAAGGGGTCTCCACACAAGCCATTCACACATGGAGAGGGGGGCTCCAATCACCATAAGCAATTGCAGGAAGACTTTCGTAGAACAGACACTGCATTGGTGAAAAGCAGGCTACCAAATACAACGCACTAGGGAATATATTCTCTGCGTAACACGGGCATTGCACTCTCTCACATGTTATCACACCTATCGGCTTACGTCCGCCGCTAGCTGGAGGCTCCATCTGCGTCAGCTCGTGTGCTCAACATCGCTTCGTCGAAGCCGCACTAAACACGGTAAGAACACCGTCAAGCCCTGTCCGCTGCCAATGTGTACATGCAACAGCAAGGTGCCCCACCATCCCAAGACAACTCGGTAATGACGTATAGCTCGTCCGCATGCTTCCAAGGCCCTATTGTCAACAAAGGGGAAATACATACCCCAACCCACAGTCTCAGTCGGCGAAGTGGTCGAAAACTACTTCCGCGAGTTTACGGCATTCTCAAACGGCAGGCATGAACGCCAATTGATCAACTTGAAACCAGACGACCACGCTTCGCCTGCTTATTGCGAGACGCACTTTCCGGTCGGCTTCCCGTTTTTGTCCCGAACTGGAGGCGACATTGATGACTGCTCGTGAACCGTGTGAACGACGGTGTCGCCCTTGTTTTCCTTGCGTGGGTCTTTTGCGTCCCCTTTCGTGTAACCGACCGTTCAGAAGGGGGAACGGGAGCTCGCTAGGCGCTTTGCAGCACCCGTGTGCACCACGCGCCACAACAACACGCCGCTCTGCATCATCATCATCACCAGCCTGACTACGTCCCCTGCAGAAAAAAGGTCTCTCCCATGTTCCGCCAGTTAACTCAGTCCTGCGCCGCTCGGCATACCTCATATTAACTCTGCTGATACTAAGCTATATTGTCCCAGTAAAATAATTGTCTATCAGTTGGCCGGCAGTGCTTTATGACATGTCATGCTTCTTATACTGTGCGTGATATTGTGTCCTTTTATTTTTATGTAATGCGGCATCTACTCTCATAAATGCATCAGTGAATAAGATTGTCTTAGACAAATTATAAATAAACCTTGTGTGCATTTTTTTATCAAAGCAGCCGTATTCAGAGGTTGCCAATGGCATTATCAGCGTGGACGTAGTGTTTATACGTGCAAGTACATCGACCACAGCATTCAACAAGGGTAGTGCACGTGTTGTGAGATGATGATTCGACAAATTCTGAAGGTTCACACTGTCTTTGAAGTGAATGTGTCTCTGCTATCTTGCATGTTGAATACTTCATTTGTTATTTTGTGCTCGCTCCTTTTCTGTTAGGAGCAATGAGTCGCGCTGCAATAGGAGTGTGGTAATTGTGAGCAGGAAGTAAAGGACATGGCCACATTAATGATGATGGTCATTGTTGCTGTTGCGATTTCCACCGCAGCATACACGTGCAAAAAATATCCAAGTAGGCAATGAATAAGCGAGTAGTTCGTGTGTACGCTGTATACTGCGAAGTTCCTAAACCTCTTGTTTGATTTAGTTTCTCATATATACTAGTTACGACATTTAGGCACGTAAAACAGGGGGAACAAATGCTGTTTAAGATTAATTGGTGCCCAGTCTATACAGTGTAATTCTTTTTTGCCTTTCATGTCTGCATTTTCCGGTCAATGCTAGAATATAACAATGTCGCGTAATTTTCGTGTCCTGCATTTTTTATGTAATCGCTTGATAGGGCTCAAACTTCAGGACTGCGTGGGTCAGATTTTATGGCCCGGACTTGGCTCAGCTTAAAAACACCATGCTCTGGCCCGCTTGAGCTCGGAAGAGTATTTTGATATACTTCCTGTACCTGGCCCGGGTGGGAATGTTTGTGACCAGCCAAGCCCGTTTCAGCGAATTATGCCTTGAGCATAAATGAGGCGCTGTCCATTTTTCGGCTGCTGTGATGATACCTGCCGAAAACAAGATATCCTGTGTTTTGAGAACTTCTTTCTGTGTCACGGCTTTCACTGGTAATGTGTGTAACTTCGGTCAATAGCGCTCGTCACACCTTTGTGAAATGGTAGCAGACCACTATAAATTATAACTGAAGTCATAGCTGGCTCTCTCGCGTATGAAGCACGAACCACGCAATCTCATTTTTGCATTTCAAAGAACGACGACAAAATGTAAAACCCTCGTTAGGTGAAAACTGGCCAAAATACATAGCTTCAGTCTACATAAACTGCATACGAGCGGAACCTGTTGAGTAAAAGAATCTAGTTTTGCGATATTCATTTATTACACGGTGAAATGAAATAGTGATCTAGCTTCTTCAGGGGGGGGAGGGGTATACACCAGGCGAAGCTGCATTACTTGAACTAGAGCTTTCGTCTCGACTCCTTGGCAGGCAACTGGCCTCTACATCGCGTTTTCACGCTCAAAACAAAAACGTTCTTTGACCTATCCTTCTTCCCGAGTCACCACCACCAGAGTTCCATGGATCTGTCAAAGCGAGCAACACCTGTTAGTGAGCAAGCCACCATCCTCGATGTTCTCTGAAGACACCTATCTTGTCTTCGTGTAACAACCTCCAATCTTTCAATTTAACTGCTTCCACAACTATTCTTTATTGGAGCACCAAAATGAACCACCTGGCGGCTTCTTTAGGGCTCCTCGTCGAACAGGGCGTGGCGGGTGTTCGGAGCGCGATCCACCGCCGCGACCGAAAGCGCGAGAGCGGGTTGCCTAGTTGACTATGGCTGACGGCCTCGCTGCCAACACTGAAGCGAAGTTCCGCTGTCCGTGGCTCACGGTTCTAGTTTCAGGCGTGCAGGTCGCGGCAAGCGACAATGGAGGAGAATAAGATGCGTGGCAGAAAGAAAAAAAAACAGCGGCTATGCTGGGAAAGATGTAAACCAAAGAAACCGGAAGCCAACTTTCACTGCAGCTAGCGCCCACGTTTAGGGTCCCTTGACGTGGATCGGGCATATTTTGTTGCTTCAGTAGGCTTCACTTCAGAAGGCGTCAACTTTTTAGACGACAAAAAAAGTTTTTTTAATAGGTTTGCCACGTAGTTGCCCTTAACACGCCATTAAAACTACATGCAGAAGCCCAGGCCTAATACGGGCCTGAGTCAGGCCCGAGCCTGAAGCTCATGGGCCCGAACCAACAATACCGTAACCAGCCAGGCCTGTGTTGTGCTCTAGTACAAACAATTGCTCTCCACTGTATGCTCTACCCAAAAAAGCGGGCACACTCAGCAATTGTTGTCCGACTTGTCTTGTCTTGTCGCCTAGGATATCTTGGCTCATACCCACATGTTGGATTGGCCAAACTTTATCTCATAATAGATAATTTTTTACAACGATTGCTAAAAAAACGAAGAGAAATTAGATAGAAACAATAATATGGTTCCTTTAAAAAACGTGAAAAAGTGCAGAAGAATGCGATAAACCAGAATATACAAAACAAATTAACAAGAATGAGGAAGGGGGACAAATAATTAGATATATCTGGCAGTACCACTAGCAGCGTATCCTTCCGGTAGCCTGAATGAATTTATGTAGCGCTGACAGAATAGCACTGCGGCCCACACCAAACTGACTGGCTCAAACGATAATAGGGTGGATGTATTGACTGGCAATCCGAGCATACCAATCGGTCTTTCAAGAATCGCAGTGAGGCGAAGTGGCGGCATGTGAGAAGAAAGTGATCTATTGTTCCCGGTTCATTGCAAACTGCACATCTGTTCGTTAATGAAAATCCTGATTTGTTGAGATAATAACATAACCGAGGATCTCTACAGCGAAAGCTTGTGAGGGTCACCTCACATTGACGGGAAAGGCATTTTGCGGTGTTCCATGTGCATTGCAAGTGTCCGACTTCCATGATCTTCATGATAGTCTTTTTCATAGTGCATTTATTTATGCATGTAGGCGAGGCATGCACTTGGTCAATCATCTTCAGAATTACTGTCACTGAAGCTTACGTTTGGTCAGTCTATGCTCTGAAAAGACAAATGTCGGAAGAAGTGTTCCCGATTCTCGGGACGTACGACTGCGTGGTAATTTCGCTCAAAAGCAAAAGGGTCTTAAAAGCATGTGTGGTCTGTCTTTTTGGGGACTAATGGGGCTCCCACAACCAATAATTCCTTTAAGGACTAACGGCACTGGGTCTAGCAGTTAGTCCCCACAGACGAGCTCAAGGGACTAAAATTTATACCTCACATTTACACCTCAGTGTGTAATCGTTAGTCTCACGATTCCCCTCAAAGGACTAACATTTAGTCCTCACATTCGCACCTTGAAGGCAACTGTTAATCCCCACATTTAAACCTTACCAAGCAACCGTTAGTCCTCACAGTTGCACCTTGCCGGAGGAACGCTTTATCCACTCAAATACTGCAACTGGATGAACTTTTTGTCCCGAGTTCAAACATTTTCCGCCAGGCCTAATACTTATTTCGGCTGTTTTTCTGCGCAGTGAGCAACAAATTGCGAAGAAAAGAACACGCAAAAAAGCAGTTAGCCTTCTATGTGTAACTGCTTTCGCAGTCACGGCAACAACGCACGACAAAAGTGAGACATCTAAATCTTTTATTCTTCTACATACACATGAAGTTTCTCAATTCTCTTAAGTGAATTCATGGGGAAGGGTACAAGTCCAGTCTTGTTGTCAAATCTTGTTCAATCCTTGGGGAGCTCTTCCAATTGAAGCGATAGATGACAGGCATTGCAGACGCCAGCGCACGCAGCCTTCTGCCTGTTGTGT